TCTTTCATTTTCAATTTTATTGTTAATAAAAAAAAAAAAATAGAGTTTATACAAATTTTGTTGAAGAAGAAAGTGTTTAATACATATTTATAAGGTCAACCATCATTGCCAAAACAAATAACAGTGGATGTGAAATGAACCTTTTTAACGTCTGAGGAGGAATGAACAATTTCTAATTGGAAATTCCAGATTGAAAACACCATGAAATAAGGTACTTGATAATCTCCAGCACCCTTTGGCTTATGAGCATGTGAAAAAACATTGTTTGTACTTTGACTATATTTAAAGCTTTTAGGGCATAACATATTCACATATATACTTTGCATTCTAGATTATTGTAGGTAGGTAAAACATTTGAAACCATACACTGTTGCGGATTTATAGGTAGATCCCAAATTGCTTCAGCTATGTCCGACTGATGGCTTAATGGAGGTGATATATCTGGTAAAGATTCCCTATTGGCGATGGCTAATCGATAACCAGTTTTTACCGTATAAATGTGTTGAGAAAACTATTCTATACTGTTTTGTGGGATTAAGAAATAAGACAATTAGAAATACAAGCAACAAGTTAAACTCATTTTATTAACAGGAAATATGTTAGTACAAGAGTAGTTTATATGTGAACACTCATATGTTTTCATATTTTGGTTGATTATTACAAATGCCACCAAACACTTATGTTTTCACTAGTGGTGATTTAGGTGCTAGATTATTCTAGAGTTTTCTTTAATATTAGTAAATCATTATCCATTATTCTAGAATAATTCTAGCTCCTTATCCTAAAGATAATGAAGATCTTTATCATGACAACTTTAGAAACTTCCTCTTCGATCTCCATAATTGTAGGTTGTTCTCCACTCTTGAGGTTTTAATGTGGGCTAATAGAAGGAAAAATATCCAAAAAATCTTTCCCTTAACTTAGTCCGAAGTTGTCGCGATGTCGACGTCTTGATTATAATATTCAAATCGTTTGATCGATAACACTTTTGTAATTATGTCTGATTAGTTCTCGTCAATGCGTAACTTATCGGTGGAAGTTTCTCTTCCGGAACTTCTCGGATCCAATTATATGCCATATGTCGATGTGTTTCAAGAGAGAATGCAAGCTGATTTTTTTGCTAAGTGAATATCGCTTTTGGTTATCAAATAACATTATATATGTGTCTTGCACTTCTCCTCGCTCACACAAATAATTCTTCATCCATAACATCTTCTTTCGAGCTTCGATGGTTGTAATATACTCTGCTTCAATGTGGACAAAGCAACACAATCTATAGCTTTAATTGCCATGAAACAACTTCGTCTTCAAAGGTAGTTGCATACCGTAACGTTGAGCTTCTGGAATCTTTCTTACCGGCACAATATGCAGCAATATAAGCTTCCCAGTACCAAAACATAAACACCTTTTAGTTGTGCTTCGTTGATAACATAATATCCATTTGATTGTTTTTCTAGTGCTTCTTTCCTGGAATGGTTAGGAAAAAAACTCAAAACCCCAACTACATATGTGATTGCACACACTATGGCATACATAAGGGTGTCTACTATTGATGCATATGAGGTGGTCTTCATTCTTGGTTTTACTTGTTAGACTTTTCTTTGTATTTACTAAAATATCCACCAAGTAGAATGCTAATCTGCTTTGTCGTGTGCATGTTGAATCTCTCTAACCCTTTATCAACATACATTTCTGGGATAGCTATAACGTTTCGTTAATCTATCACCCATGATCTTCATTCTAAGTCTTTCTTGTTAGCCCCTAAGTCTTTATGAACAAGCATTGGTTTAAATCTTTCTGTAGAGCAGCTAGTCATGAAG